TTCATGACTGCTTGCTAGCCACTAACCCCCAATTTTTGCTCTACTTCATGCAATGATAGCAGATGATACTAGATCAGATTCGCTCAGAGGTAGAGATTGCTCTTTAAAGAGAATTGTAGCTTGACAAATCAAGTTTGGGGACTTGGCTGGTTCACTCGTAACTTTGTTTTGGACCTTTCTTGAACAGGGAAGGAGTCCCAGATTAAAGAACTCAAGCTAGTGGAAAAATAAATTACCGGTTGTCAGAATAAGTTGGAAACTGAGGTTTGAAAAGTGCTTCAAACTCGGGTTGAGGGTTGTAATGTATCCGTTGTTCTGATTTGAGTCTAGTTGTTTGACTGGAAAAACAGCTTTAATGATAATGCTACATCCTTTGGCACAAAAAAAATAAAAATATATATATATATATATAATTATATTTTTATTTTTATTTTTTTAACACTTTACAATTTACATTTCAGTTTACTTTTAGGGGGTGTTTACACAACAGCATTTTGGGGGCCTGAAAATGCAGATTTTCGCTTATATCAAAGTAAAACAAAAAATAAAAAGAAACGAAATGCACTGCACGTAATTGAATGTAATTTGTTAGATGCATTGAAAGTAAAATATTTGTTTATTTATCAGTTTTAGCTCTAAGTTTAAAAAAGGAATACTTTGGTAAAAAGTGTAAAAATAAGGCTTAATATGGAGTTCCCTTTCAAGGGAACTTCGAACTGTGTCCTCTAGGGGTCGCTATGGGGAACGCCTCATCGTGAAACCATTCGGAAATGCACGCTTGAAACAAAACGGTCAGTGAAGACGAAGAAGAGAATGACATGTTCTCTCGGCGTCTATTTATACTATAGTCGCACTGGTAGTGATGTCATGGGCTGTCGCCGGCCAACGTGTTGTTGGTGTTTTTTCAATGTATGCTTCAGACACGTGTCACGACGAGCCGTTCCCCATAACGATCCCTAGAGGACGCAGTTCGAAGTTCCCTACTCAGGGAACCATGGTTACATAAGTAACCTGAGACGTTTTCCGTATTGATTTTGTTTTACTTATATTTTGAAATATGCATTACATTGTGCTTTACAGTTAATGGAAATGTCCATAAACTTAACAGACTTAACTTTTTTGCAGATTTTTTTTTTCTTACAGTGTGCATACAGTTTTTTTTTTTTTCTCAATGCTCAATGACTACAAAATGAAATTTTTGCGTTGTTTTGTGTGTGTGTGTGTGTGTCAAGTTTGGAGAAACAAAGTTTCTGAACTCAAAAAAAAAAAATAATTTGCAAAATGATTCAGTGTCTGCTGATCAAATGTAATGAAAGGACTGAATTATTGTTGTTGTACAGGCAAACTACAGTAAACTTAAATACAAAGTTCTGAATATTCACAGAATCTGCAAAAATAAATATATATTTGTGACTTTATTAATATATTATTTATTTGTTTATTTGTATATGGAAAATGTAATGTAAAAACTTGACTTGGGATCAGTTATAGCCACACTTTTGACAAATGTTCAAAGAGTTTGTCAAACCATAACAGTTACTTGGCCTGTTGATATGCACTTCAAAGCATTGATTCAAAACCACTTGCTTTGATTCACTAGCTTCAGTTAGAATTTTAAAACACATTTGTAGCTTTATTTTAGTTTGCTTTGCATTTGCATTTGGTTTACCAACTTATTTGGTGTCAGTTTTAGTTTAAATGAAAACCCTGTCTCAGAGGAGCGTGTGGTATCATACTGTAGACGACAGGGCTCAGGGAGTAATTCTCAGGGTCTTTTCTTGAATGTGACATTATCTGAGTGAACGCGCTTCAATTATTTAAAGCACCATTGCTGTCTCTGTTCTATCAGAGAGATATTTGGTGTTCTGGGTAAATAATTGATTCTGCTCCGACTGTTACTCCTAGCAAGCTGATCTCATGAGGGTGTGGATGTATGTGTTTTTCATCTTTACATGCATTGTACTTCAGCATCTGATATCATGCTAGCTTGATTAATGGAGCTAATGGGAATAGTCACTCTACACATGTTCATGTGTGTGCCAGGGTTGTGCAGCATTCATAATGCATTGGATTTCTTATATTGAAATGAATTTGAATTGCAGTTAAAAAATAAAATAAAAAAAAAATTAAAATGACACAGGGTTGTGATTAGAATGCTATGAGTTAACTGTGTGACACTCTAATAAGTGTACAATAACACATGCCACACGGTTATTGGGTAAAATAGTTTGTAATTACTCTTAAATATTGTTGTTTTGTTTTGTTTTTGGTGTGTGTTTTTTTTTTTTTTTGCCTTTATTTTGTCTTTTTTTAGTTTTGTTTTGGTGTTTTCCTCCACTTTTTTTTGCGTTTTGTTGTATTTTGTGTTTAGTTTTGTTTTGTTTTTTTTGCGTTTTGGTGTGTTTTTAGCCTTTTTGTTAGGATTTTAGTTTTGATGTGTTGTTATGTTTTGTTTTGTTGCATTTTTGTTTTGTTATTTTGCTTTGGTCGGAGGGGGGTTGTCTTGTGTTTTCATTTTGTTTTTACTTTATTTTTTGTGTGTTTTTTGCCTTCTGTTTTGTAGTTTGTTTCAATTTTAGTTTTTTTTTTTTTTTTTTTTTTTTAGCTTTTTTTGTTTGGTTTTTAGTTTTGTTTTGGTGTTTTTTTTGTTTGTTTGTTAGTTTTGTTGTGTTGAGGTGTTTTTAGATTTGTTTTGGTGTTTTTTTATCGTTTGATTTTGATATTTTATTTTAGTTTTATTTTCATTTTGTTGAGTTGTTTTTAGATTTGTTTTGGTGTGTGTGTTGTTTTTTTTTGTTTTCTTTTTGTTTATATACTTTCCATAGTGAAAGAACATTTCTTAGCCAATTTGTTTAGCTGCTGAATTTCATTCGATTTGCAATTTAGTAAATTCCTCTTCTTTTAATTCAAATAACTGTATATTAAAATGGAGTCATTTCTTAAATTTGATAAAGGAGAAATGATCACTGCATTGTGGCAAGATAGAGTTGTACAGAAAATGACAGCACGAAAGGTTACAAGATGGTGCAAGGAATTTCAAATAAGACTGACCATGAACAAGAAAAAAAGTCCTCATTCTTTCTTGTGCGTTTCCACCTGTCCCCCAGATGGGATTCAGTCGCTAAATTAACTGTGCTGTCTTTCTGCTTTTGTTTGGGCAGCAGAATGCTGGCCGTGTCCAATCAGCCGGGCTCTGGAGTGCGTCATCTGGATTGATGTAGCTTTTCATTCTGGCATCGCCAGGTGCCAGTCCGTCATTCACACCATTGCCACGGAAATAGTGAAATGCTCTGCGGTCCTGAAAGCAAACACGACCCAGTAATAGCCAGGTGTAATAGAATGTTTCTCTGGCACTAATTGTCTCTAGCTGTCCTCTGGAGAAGCCATCAGTGCAGGTTTTGGGTGTTAGTGTTGTTTTTGGTCAAACTATTCCTTTTTAGCAGTGATTTCTTTTGCATTGTTTAATAAAGCATGAGCATTTAGATGACAGTGCTTTCTTAAAGGGCTGGTCCATTCAAAAAGTAAAACAATAATTTTCATTTTTGTGCAAACTATTCCTTCAAATAAACACAATGCAGGTTCCTCTAATCCTGTATTTTAAAATTCTGGCCTCTTGTTGAAAGCAAATGCTGATTTATTTCTACACTAAATCCACACCTGTAGTCATTGTGAAGTTATAAGAGATTAAAACTCAGTGTTCTTTAGTGCTCTTTTATTATGATGTGATTTATTCATGCATTCCAAAAAGTGGCATTTCCCGCATTTCTCTCACCACCCTCTTATTGCCTGTTTTCATTAAAATGTGGCCGTCTACATGGTGATTGTTGCCATAAAGGGCTAAAAGAAATCATTGGTAATCACACTGCAATCAGCAATGTTTGAATGAAAGGCATGAAATTCAAAGTGCATATCAAAGGAGGTATAAGGGAGTGGATGGAAAGCAATAAGCAGGCTCAAAATTATGTATCATTTTAAGTGATCACACTTAAATGTGTTTACACCCTTTCATAGGTGTGCATAATTAACTTGTTAACATAAAAAAGAGGGACATGTTGGTTCTGTTGCTCTTAAACAATTTATTTTAAAATCGTAATATAGATTATTGAATACTCCAGAGCTTTACATGACTTTGAAATACAGTACCAGTCAAATATGATATTTTAAAAGACTTACTGACGTTGGCTCACAGTCGAGAGAGTCTGCAGAGGTCCTCTCTATGATATCATTTCCTGATTTGTTTTGTGTATGTGTTTCATGTTGAGTTGTATTCTTGTTTGTGTGTTGTGTTGTGTTGTGTTTTGTTTTTCTTGTGTTTTGGTTTGTGTGTTGTTGTTTTTTTGTTGTTCACGTTGATGTTTTTGTTTTGTTCTATTATGTTTTTGTTTTGTTGAGTATTTCGTTTTGTTTTGTGTTCGTGTGTTGTATTGTTGGTTTGTGTTTTTTTTTTAATGTTGTTTTTGTCCTTTTGTGTTTCATGTTGTTTTTTTGTGTGTGTTTTGTTTTTTTTGTGTGTGTGTTTTATGTTGTGCTGCTTTTGTGTGTGTGTGTTTTGTTCTGTTTTAGTTTGTTTTATTTTGTTCATTGCATGTTTCTTAATGTTGGTTGAACCACACAACATTTTTTCATTTTAATGTAAGCAGTGAAGCAGTTTTGTTAAAACATTTTTTTATTCATTAAGTTTTTTTCATTAATGTTTTATTCATGTATTTATTTTTATAAGAAATTATTTTCATGAACTTATTTTTAATGATTTTTTCCCCTTCATTATCCTATAAAGACAGAACTGTCATTCTGAATTTTTTTTTACTCCATACGCGCCAAAAAACATAAAATTCAATTTAAATTCAGAAATGTGAAACTCATCATTAAAGTGGTGTTTTTCAGTCAGTATATATAATCAATGAATTTCATTTTTTATATATTTTTGTAAAAATATAGTCGAAAAAAAAGAATGTCAGTGTCATTGACCGAAATGCTGATTTGTGTCCATTTTTTTGTAGATCCATGAGATGCAGTGGCCCAATGGTGAGATGGAAATACCCAGCTCGGTCTGCAGTCTGCCCTGTAAGACGGGTCAACGCAAGAAGATGGTGAAAGGCATGCCGTGCTGCTGGCACTGCGAGCCCTGCGACGGCTACCAGTACCAGTTTGACGAGACGTCCTGCAAGCTCTGCGCTTACAACATGCATCCGAACGCCAATCGCACTGGCTGCCAGCCCATCCCGATCGTCAAGCTGGAGTGGCATTCACCCTGGGCCGTCATTCCCGTCTTCCTGGCTATGCTCGGCATCATCGCCACCACCTTTGTTATGGCAACGTTCATCCGCTACAACGACACCCCGATCGTACGAGCGTCTGGGAGGGAGCTCAGCTACTTTCTGCTGACCGGGATATTCCTGTGTTACATCATCACGTTTGTAATGATCGCCACTCCGGACATTGCCGTTTGCTCCTTCAGACGAATCTTCCTTGGGCTGGGAATGTGTATTAGCTACGCGGCGCTCCTCACTAAGACCAATCGAATTTACCGCATCTTTGAGGAAGGGAAGACGTCGGTTACTCCACCTAAACTGATCAGCCCGACGTCTCAGTTAGCCATCACGTCCAGCCTCATCTCCGTCCAGCTCTTAGGGGTCCTCATATGGTTCGGAGTGGATCCTCCAAACACCATAATCGATTACGAAGAACAGAAGACCATAAACCCTGATAAGGCCCGAGGGGTTCTCAAATGTGACATTACGGACCTACAAATCATTTGCTCTCTAGGATACAGCATCTTGCTGATGGTAACATGTACGGTTTACGCCATCAAGACGCGAGGCGTTCCGGAGAACTTCAACGAAGCCAAACCCATCGGCTTCACCATGTACACCACATGCATTGTGTGGCTCGCCTTCATTCCTATTTTCTTTGGGACGGCACAATCTGCAGAAAAGGTAATGCTTGTTTTAGTACTTTTTACAATGTGCATCAGTTTTTCGATTTTGAGTACTTGCATGCCATTTGCGCTTGTTGATTTTACTCAATATTTCACAGAGATAATTGAAGTTCTGTCGGTTTTTTATATTCGCCCTCATCTCGTTCTAAACACAAAAGCTCTTATTTTGTCTTTGAAAGACAGAAAAGAGGAATTTTGAAAAATGTTGCAGCTTTCTCATACAATGACAAAGACTGTTAAGCTCTCTCTTTATTTATTTATTTATGTATTTGTCATTTATTATTATTATTATTATTATTATTATTATTTAGATTTAATTTACTTTTTATAGTTATAAAGTTTATAGTTTACAATTTTCATTCCAAATTAGGTTTAAGTTTGTTTTGAAATTTGTTTTGTTTAGGTTTTACTACAATTTTCACTAGCAGAGTTTTCACTTTTTGCTGGATAATTTCACAAATAACTAAAAAAAAAAGATCACTTAATCAATCTATCTATCTATCTATCTATCTATCTATCTATCTAGTTTGCATAAATTTATTTGAGTGTGTGTGTGTGTGTGTGTATGTATATACACTGTAAAAAAAAATCTGTGACATTTACGGTAAAATACTTATTGTAAAATACAATAAGCTGTGGTTGCCAGAACTTCACCGTAAAAAATATGGTAGCAACATTTTAGGTTTTACAGACTTGACTTAAATTCACAATAAAATACCCTATTTCATTAACTGATGTAATGTTAATAAACGAACACATTGAAGTACTAATATCTGTTTTGAACCATTGTAATGCACTGATAACCACCAAAAAGAAGTGTTAATATCTGTTTTGAACCATTGTAATGCACTGATAACCACCAAAAACTGGTGGTGATGAGAAAGTCACATCATGAACAAAAGCTCATCATAAACAGCTTTTCTATGAGCTAAGGAGGGCAATACTTAAATATAGAAGGTGCACAGTGTCATTCACACAAACACTAAACACCATCATGGTGACACACATGATACTGAAATGATGCAATAAACATTAATTTGACTTTCTTTTTCACTTCCAAAAACCGTATTTTTACTGTAAAATTACGTTAAATGTAATTACATTTATTCACCGTACAATATTCAACATATTATGGAAACTTACTGTTAACCAATTAACAGGTTTTTACTGTAGCATTTTTACAGTCTTTTACTGTTAAAAT